CCGGCCTCCCCCTCGAAAGATACCAGAGACCAGGTAACAGGCAGAGATGCATCTCAGGCCCGATCAACGGTATGATCCTTTGATCCTGCGACGAGTCGACGAGTCCCAAGCGCACCACGGGTTACTAAATTAGTTCTAGTGACCACCCCGATGCGGCAACCAGCGCTCCGGATTAGGGCTCTTGGCAGGGATTTTCGGAGTTACTCGAGCTGATTTCTATTTTTCCGTAATTCCCTCTTCCGCTAGTACCCACTCTAATCATGCTCCGAGTGCGAAGAGCAAAGAACCGGGTTTGGGCATTGGTGTCGCACAAGTGTGTGTGCAGGAAAAGAAGCAATTACGAGCTATTCTGGCGTACCGTGGCTGGGCTGGATGAAACCCGCAACGTCGAATCGACGGGCGAGTCTGGCAGGTATCTACACCAAAGTCGTGATGTACTCTACGTGGGCAGTAAATGTGGAGTGAAGCCGTGAAACAGCGAACCTGTCCGTGGACTCTGGATGGCTAAACACGGATTTCACACGCGCGCCGACAAACGCCGCAGTTGGAAAGCCCCCTACGTAAATGGGTACCGAGAAACCCAAAAACGGGTGAGGAACAAACACATGATCAATTGAACCAGAGGTTTCGGTCGATGGTGATGATGTAGAAGGTGGAGATTTCTAGAGAGAACCGAACGACGAGTCGACGACAATAGGAACAGAAATAGTGACAACAAAAACAATTAAGCGTTGGACGACCGCGTCGGGTCTGCATCGGGTCCCGCCTCCACAACACCCAGGTCCCACCAGGTCTCAACGAGGTCTCCTCTCTCCGGTGATCACCGAAGACGCCAAGCCGCCTCTGCCTCCTCACCCCTCAGTACGTATGTGGACCCCGGGGGGTATCAGACTCCAGTGTGGTGGAGCGATGGAGGAGCTGTCGGCGAGAGAAGGACAGCTGTCGGCGAGAGGAGGAAGTGAAGGAGGACTCCTGTCGGCGGCAGAAACCGAATGTGGTTAGTAGTAGGCTTCAGCATTGGCGGGCTTCAACGTTGGCGGGCATGGCGGGGTCTTCTTCTTCTTCTTTCTTTCTCGATCATCATCTATCAAATAGACGGTCAATCCCCCATCTCCTCTCTCTCTCCTCTCTCTCTCCTCTCTCTCCTCTCTCTCCTCTCTCTCCTCTGTGTACGGTTCCTTTCTCGTCAGGCCTGGAGAGGCATCGGCAAAGAGCACTCGAAAAACCAGACTACGGTGACCGCGCGTATGGCTGCGGCGGACTCATTGCTCACGGGCCGGAACTGGATCGGAAATATTTCGTCCTATCCCCCGCACCCGCACCACCACCACCACCACCACTATCTGCAGGGAAAAAAAACCAATAGGGGAAGTGTTGAAATCGCGACTGTTTCGTGCTAACTACTGCTACTATTACTTTCCTCTAGCAACTAGTTCCCGATCCCGCCCGCCGCCTTTCCCTCGCCGAAGGAACGGCGCCGTTTCTGCACCACCCACGGAGTATATACCCACCTACCATACTGAAGTATGTACCTACTTCTTAGGTATGTACTACGCGCCGCTCCATGCATGTCTCTTCTCGTACATAGGCTCCCAAGCTCACGATCGGACCCGAAAATTCCCCAGAGAACCGTTAAACAAGCCTCACGATTCGCAGCCAACCGAGGTGTCGGTACCCTTTTTTCACGATCACGATCGGGATCGCTGCAAGGATTTTTTCCGCAGCACCTAGCTGCAGATGATTGGCATGACCTCTGCTGTGGGTCCGGCCGTGGACGAGTGAGCGAGGCCTTCCGACGCGGGGGTGGGAGCAGCTGTTGCAGCCGTTGCAGCCGTTGCAGCAATGGAGAAACGGAGAAACGACGCTCATTCGCTAGGGACTCTGATGGCTGCGCTGAACTCTGGAGGGAGGCTGGATTGGAGTGCGGTGCAGTGGGGTTGGGTGCGGTATGAAGGTTACCTAGGCGCCGCGCAAGAAGGAGAAACTTCAAACCCCCGCCAGCTGCAATACATAGCGTGATCAGTCCACGACTCCTCGAGCAGTTACATTCGGTATCCCCCCTCAGGCCTCTCAGTCCCCCAGGCCCGCCATCGATCTCGATCCTGAGTCAAGGGCATACATATCCGTAGTGTATCTACTCTTACTATCATAGTACTCGGGAACATACTGGTATGATACGGTGTTATGATGCGCCACAGCGGTTGGCTGGCCTGGCTAGCAGCTGGCTCGCCGGTGGTGCTGAAAGCTGCATCTGCACGCGAGTCCTCGCTACGCAAGTCCGTAACTACTCTATGTACATCCATGATCCAAGTGACTATCTTGCTGGTTAGCGGGCCAACCACAGCACAGCAGATAAGAGCAAAAGTCCCCAACGCTGCGCGATCATCGATGGCGATCATGGATTCCTGGATGGGCTCTTGGAGTCTCAGACTCTACATAGAGTGTCAGACATGCAATTGCAACCGTTAATTAACGGCCACAATCTGGCATCTGCGCCCAACAGCACTGTAGCAGATCACAGCAGCTCTTTCGTTTCCCCGCCAGCCGCCAAGCCGAAGTCCGCGAAAAAGTTACTTACCGTTGGTTACTCGGCTCGAGGGACCTCCGCATTAGAAACGTTTGGCCATTTTTATTTACTTCTTTATCCATTTAATTATTTTTATTTACTGTCTCCGGCGAGACTCCGAGAAGATTAGACACGGACACCAGCGGCCTCCAGTGACCACGCACCGAATTGATCATGGGAATGGGGATTCGCCCCCGCCAGCCAGCCAATTCCCCCCGCCAGCCAGCCGGACGGACTGGACTGATGGACGGATTGACGTTCCGTTTGCAACCGCATGCTATGCACGGGCAGCCGTTCCTCCAGTTGGGTGGTGGTGGTGGTGGGCGTCCGTGGGCGTAGGTGGGCGTGGATGGGCGTGTGTGTGTGTGTGCTAGATATATCTATCTACATACCAAGTAGGTTAAGTATAGTCCTCACTGACACACATACATAACAAATCTGCCCCTCGCTTGAATAGGGCACTCCGCGCCTCCCGAGTCCTAGTTAAGACCGCCGCGAGGATCGTGACCATCCGTGCCCCCCCCTCGCCTCCCGTCTCCTCGTCCCTCCTCCCCCGCCCCCATCAACAGATGATGGCCACCGTACTTCTCCGCGAAGATCATGTACGTGGGTCACCATGTACGGTGTGCATATCACACATCCTCTACTAGGTACACACGACCGGCAGGCAAGTGAACGGCGGTGCGTAGGGACCGGTGTGGGATCGACGTCGAACCCCAGACCTCGCTCCCTCCCACACGGTGAGGGCGAAAGGCGAAAGGCAAAAAACAAGTAAAAGCACGCAAAAAAATGCACAAAAAAGGCAAAAAGGCAAAAGGCGAAACAGGCAAAAGCAAAAAAATTGCACAAAAGCAATAACAAAAAGGGAAAAAAGCAAATCCGATGCTTATGTGTATGTGTGTCCGTGTGTGTGTGTGTGGTGTGTGCAACTGGCTGTGCGTAGGTGTGTGCATTGTGAACACTGGGTTCGCATTGGACTTCAGCTTCCTGGGCCGGTGGTATACCTCCTCGACTCGACTCGTGAACTCCAGACGAGACCGCAACGCGCTCTTCTTACTGGTCGCGTGGACATGGAGACGGCGGAACAGATCGGAGTGTACTTTGATACTAGGTATATTGCGATTGGGAATCTTCGTGTAATTTTCGTATGGGGTACCCAAGAACGTGGGGAAACAGAGAGACAAAAAATGCCAGACGAATGAGCTCCTATTCCCCCTCCTCCACCCCCCTCCTCTTCCTCCCCCACACCCTCCCCTCCCCTCCCAAAGTTATGAAACGGATAAAGACGGACGATCGTAAATAAAGAAATAAAAACGGCCCAGCAGACAAACCAAACTAAACCAGAAACAGACCGGATAGGAATATGTAGAGTAAAAAGACGGTAAAGACTAAATCGATGAACCGAGCGACCAACGACCCTTCCCCCTCCCCCAAAAGAAAAGAAAAAATAAGAAACCCCGGAATGACGAGAGTACCTTTTATATACCATGAATACCATGACAGGGACATAGTTTGACCCACAGACCTCCATTATGGCCGCGACAGGCGGCGACATGCGGTCAGAGTCTGGTGCGAAAGTGATTTGAGCGAAGGTATGCCCGCGGTGGAGCTAAAAAGGTACGCGATACCCTCACCAGCCACAGCAAAAATCCTGCAACTTACGCGTCGACGCAACGAAGACGATAGAAAAAGAGAGAACCCCGAGATATCGTAGTGAAATAATTTTTCATGAGGATCTGCTTGCATTTAATAACCGTCTAATGGCGAATTTGTCTCCAGTCGCGCGTTGTGAATAGCGCAGACCAGATGAGTGGAATCGCTTGAGTCATAAAAGTTACTGACTCACCATGCGCACATTTACTGACTTGTCATTAAGTTCGATTGACTCGTCACTAAAATAAATTCACCCGCCATTAAATTGGATTGACTCGTCACTGAAGTACCAACCAAGATTTTACTTCTCAACTGATGGAACACATAACCCACGAAGAAATAGTTATAAAAGTTGGGAACGTAGCACCGTAGTGAGCTTCAGTGCTTCAATAAAATAAAAGTAAAAGAATTATTTTTCTCTCTGTCGAACTCTCGTTGCCCAGTTGACTTCTTTTTTGTACGCAGAATTAGGGTGGCGGTGCAGCGGGCATCGCGTACCGACGAGATTTTCGCACCAGACTCTGACCGCCTGTCGCGGCCATAATGGAGGTCTGTGGGTCAAACTATGTCCCTGTCATGGTATTCATGGTATATAAGAGGTTGCCCCCTGTATTTCATGGTATATAAAAGGTACTCTCCGGAATGACTGGCCGAAAAGAAAAAACAACCCAACAGCAGAACAGCAGAAGCGATAGGTATCCCGAACCAAACAAACCAAACCGAACCCCATTCCCAAAAGTGAACACGAAATATATATGTTACGCCCCCAATCCATCCATCCCAATCCATCCGAATCCATCAATCCATCCGAATCCATCAATCCATCAATCGATCCATTCCCACGCCGAGAACCGGGGAAACAAAAAAAATGAAAATGAAAAAATAATGAAAAGAGAAAAGAAAAATAAAAAAAGTGACCTCACATCAGTCACATCCCGTCAGCCGAACCATTAGCCCGATTCTCCTTGAGCCAATTCAGCGTCCTCATGGCGTTCTCGCACGCGGCCTCGGCCTGCTCGTACTGTCCGATCTCGACCCTCCTCTCCGCCTCCCTTAGGTTCTCCTTGAGCGCCGCTTGCTGGAGGTGGGTGACAGACGGGAGCGGGACCTGTTGAGGGCCGCGGCCATGGTAGGGGCCGAGCGTCATTCCCGGCGGAGACTGCTGGTGATGGTGGTGGTGGTTGTGGTTGTGATGGTGTTGCTGCTGGTTATGCATCGGACCCATGTGTTGCTGTTGTTGTTGCTGGGGGTGACCAGTATTGTTCGGCGCATAGTGGCCCATGTCCGCGGCCGTCACGGGGGGGTATGTGTCGTGCTCGTACTTGAGCACGGGGATGTGCGCGTACTGCTCCGCCGCGTAGTGGTGTTCGAGCGGGGCGGCCATGCCGCGCGTGGACCCGCGGTGCACCACCGAGTGCGTGCTCATAAGCCGGTATAGCGAGTTGGCGCGCGGAGAGTTGTCGTCCGCGTTGCCGTCTGGGTCCATCGGTGGCATCGGCGGCATCGGGGGCATGTCATGTTCCGTTGGCACGACGATGGGGGATTGGCGCTGGAGAGGGCGGGCAGGTTAGCCGCACTGGCGAGGGAGCGAGAGATGTGATATGATATGGCAAAAGCAGGGGGGTGAGGGGGGGATGCGGCGGCGGCTTACTGGTGTCTTTTTGAACCACTTCCACTCTTTGAACTTTTGTTTGTAGGCACGTTCCCTTTACCCAGCTGTTAGGAATAGAGAAAGGAAAAAAACCCGGGGCATCACATGAGAGAGGACGTACGAAGCCTGGAATCCGTAGTCCTGTGCCATTATCCGAGAGACCGTCGCCAGCTTCATGCGACGGAGCATATAGCTTGATACATATCACCGTGAGCGAGTGCAGGGGTGTGGCAAAGCCAGCCAATGTGGACGGACAGCACGTACAGGTCATGGAGACGCTCCTTTTCTCTCTCCCAGTTCTTTGTCATTTTTGTGTCGGTCTTCTTGTCGTCGCTTTTGAGGATATTCTCGTGACGGACCTTGGGCGGGGAGGGAGGAACGGGGGGAGGGACGGAGGAATTCGGGTGCAGTGGTGGTGTTGGAGGTGACGGTGGATGTGGTGGTGGTGGAGGTGACGGTGGTGGTGAGTAGTAGGGCGAGTTACGAACGAACGTTGTATGTATGCGTGTGCCTGGATGTCGTATGTCGTATGTAGGTAGGTGTGTTTTTCTGGTATGATTGGACTCAAAGTGAAAAAAAAGCCGGTGGTCTGGAAGATCGAAGGTGCTGAAGTTTGAAAGTGATGTTGAAAGAACGCGGGCACAAGTGTGCTTTTAAAATGCCCGCAAAGGGGGATCGAAGATGGCCTCCATCATAGTCCCCTCTCCCACACACACACCCACAATCCACGTCCGATGGTGGGGGGGGGGGGGGGGGGGGGCAACGAGATTTGTGGTTCCACAAAGTGAGTTGCTTTCGATCCAGGACGGGATAGTACCATTGGCCGCCTCGCTGACCGCAACCGTTAAGACGGTCAACTGACAAGGGGATGGAAAGCTTGGATGGCCATCCCTCCTCTTCCTCTCCTCCTCCTCGCCCTCCTTCTCTACCTCCTCTTCTTCCTCCTTCTCCTACTCCTCACTTACCTCCCCTGTCCCCCCTCCCCCTCTCTGCATGCTCAGAAAGCAAGGCACCTATCCATTGCCGGGAACAGTGGAGGGACAGGCCCGGATGTAGAGCTGAGCAGCGCGGCTCACCCCTTCGCCAGTGGCCTGGCCACAACCTGCATACTTGGAGTCTGACGGGTAGCAATCAGCAATCGACGATGATGATCATGATGCTCAAGGATCAGCGGTAAACCTGTCGAACATTGCTTGCTTTCTGGACGGATGGGACCGGCATTGTGCAAGTGTGGATCCCCCAAGCGCAGCCCTTCTTGCGATGGGAACTTCACTTGCTCTGGCAGAGAATGTTGCATGGGGATGGATGGATCTTTCTTACTGAGCGCTGCCGGCGTGGGACGTGGCGTATAATGCGCTTCTAGAAATATACCACGCTTCTAGAAATATACCACGCGGCTGTATCTCGTGTTCTCCATCCCGCCCCCAACTTCCCAAGTCTCTCCCGCTACAAGTGCTGAGATATCCTGAGCACCTTCTGCCCCCCGGCGGCGTGTCAGGATCCTCCCGTTGCCCTGATATCCAAGATCCTATTGGCCTGATGAAGTGTGTGCTGCCGTGCCTATAACCCGGACTCGTTATTCTGAACGAGCTTCACGCATACTCCGGCAAGTAGCACGTGCAACATGTATATGGATATCTCCATATTACCTCATCCTCCACACGTCGTCCTGCGTGCAGTCCGCAGGAGAGCATCCCTCGCTCTCGCTATGCATTCGCAACCCTAAACAGCGTATGTATGCTAGCTCCCCTCCCCGAGCGCGAATCGAGGCCATCCCTGCCTCGCTGAGCGCACACAAACTTCAAGCATCGCTGCCAGAATGTGACCTGACAGCAGGGCCAGACAAAGTGATGTTCAGATGGAAGTATGTAGTGTATGTAGCACCTGAAACAGCCCACCATGCAAGGAGCCACCACATAACAACACAAGCCAAGGGAATGAATGTCTCCGACTCAAGGGAAATAATGTCACCGATCTATGGAGGTACAAGCACAAGCAAAAGCACGAGCAAAGGGACGGGCAAAAGACCGAGCAAAAGAACGAGTGCAAGCATGAGCACGAGTGAAAGCATAAGCACTGGGAGGGAGTGTGTGGATGTGCTGATGCGCCGATCGACAGTTACCGTTGAGGCCAGGCCCGAGGCACTGCTGGTCGCCCAATTGGCGGCTACTCCGCGAGGACCGCAATGTGATCCCCCATTCTTCTATTTCTTCATCTTTAGTGCCGCGATCACGACTCGAGAGACACACACACACACACACACACGCGCAAAGCACCCGGACATCATATTGCGAAAAGGCCTGACAGCGCTGGAGTGGATACTGTGAGTTGTAACTGCTATACATACGGCAAAGACGGTATATGCGCTTGTGAGCAACTGGCAAACACCAGTAAGATACTCTCCATACCTACACAGACACATACGTACATACGATTCGGGCGCTGCGCACCACCCACGTGCCTGCAGGCTGCAGCTTGCGCGTCTGTTGCACCGCGCCAGATCTACTTTACCCCTGTTCGGTAGACCGGCAAACTTTTTAGGGAATGTAGATGCTCCCAGCGCCCTGTCGACTGTCGACTGTCGCGCAACCCCCCCGGCCAGTTACCCAGTTTACTCTTACCTACCCACTGACCAGCGTCCATGAGCATGGGGGGGGGGGGGGGATAAAAAGCAAAGCGACGAGATATCGCTTTTTCTGCTGATTGTGATATAGCCGTGGACGGCAGGCCAATAGCCGTGGTTATGGCGCTAACTGAGTATTACATGACTACATATCACATCTACCTGCCGCTCACCACCGCCAACGTCCACGAGCAGTGTGTCCGTGTCAGTGCCGGCGCAAGAGAGCGGCGCGTCTTCCTACTAGTATCTATCTATGCTCTCCGGCCGCAACTACTCCACATACATAGATGATAGACGCCACACAATGCACACAGTGACAGCAGCAGAAGCGCGACAGACAAATCCACAGCTGACCGCACATGACTGCATCCGCCTGCACGTAGAGTACTCTATGTATGTACGCGGCGGTGGCGCATGGTCGAACGAAAAGTCAAATGTGATGTGCCCACAATCAATCTGACAAGCGCCAGTCCTGTTCCTAGGCGGATCGACCGACCGACATCAAAAGTCCAACCCACCACCCCCCCCCCCCCCCCCCCCCCCCTTGTCTTGTTTTGTTTTTGTTTGATCGTACATACGTACATCTGATACTGCCATCTGGCGATTTCGGTCAATGCAAGATTGTGGCTGTCAATTGTGTGTACTTTTTTCGCTCTCTGTTTATGGTGTCAAACCCCCCACACCCCCACCCCCTCACTACCTTGAAATGGTGGAGAAGCACGAGTGATATTCTGTGAACAACAGTCCCGAAAAAAAAAAAGAGAAAAAAAAGAAAAAAAAAGAAAAAAAAAAGAAAAGAAGAAAAGAAAAGAAGACAAAAAAAAGCATGATTTCTTCTCTTCCCCGCCCCCCTCCCTCCCCCCCCTTCAGTAGAGACTGGAGATATGCAGTGTTCCCCTACCTGGTAACTTCCGAGAAAGTACCGCTTACGTGTGTGTACACTGTACAGTAGCTGTACGGCGATACCTACGTTTGTGCCAACCAAATCAGAAATCAAGCCTTCCCGCCGCCGTGACACAGCACGCGCACACTCTATTCTATTCCCACATTCCTTGGACATTTTGAACGATGAATGAATGATGAACGTTGCAAACGTACGTGCTTTTCCTGCCTTTCTCCGCACTCACGCTGGAGAGGGTGCATGGAGTGGAGTGGAGCTCTTCTCCCTCCATACTTTAAGCTTACAAGCATACATGAGGTGCATATCTCGATTGATCCGTATGGAGACACTGGACGCCGACTCTACATATATCCTTCCATCCATTGCGGCAAGCGGCTATGCCCCCGGCATGAGCATATAACGAGGTCTCACCATCTCACCTTAGCCCGGTAACATCCATCTTACAGCCTACTCTACAGGCTATGCTACAGCCATCAGCCGAGCCTGTGTTCTTTCTTTCTTTCTTTCTTTCTTTCTTTCTTTCTTTCTTTCTTTCTTTCTTTCTTTCTTTCTTTCTTTCTTTCTTTTGTTTTTCCAGTCGTTCCTCTCCCCCCGGCCTTTGATCGTTACCTAGTCACCTAGGATTTCTGATAACCCGGGACAAACATTCCTCCGAGTCTGTGTTCTCGGTTCGGTACGGTACTGTCGTTACGTTTTCAACTCTTCAAAGCTCAGGCTTCGACGGAATGTAGGGATGGGCTTTGGTTTGTACATCCAACCTACGTGTGGAGTACCAGTAGGTATGATATGTATAGTAGTACAGTACGTTTGCTTGAACGTCTAGGAGCTGGAGCATGCAGCACGGATTAAACTTTCGTTCACACTAAACTGCCGCCCGCTTCCCCTCCCCCTTCATCGCCGCAACCATATGCATCGGATCGATCTCTGGCTTTTCGAAGGAAGCGTGATACTCTACCTAACCTACCTAACCTACCCTACATCTGCCACCTCCCCGCGCCCCAAGCGGAATCAAAGCTTCCTGCCAACATACATATGCGTGCGTGCGCGATCCACGCGGCTGCATCTCCTCCTCCAGAGTCCATCATCCATGCACGGTCGTTTCGAGCCTGCGAGCTCTTCGAGGTCGGAGGGACTCTAGACTCTGGAACGGCGGACTACGGAGGCAGACGTCCGTCACCACGAACGGCTGCCAATCAGCTGAACTTTGGTGACTGGTCGGTGTGCGTGAGCAGTGTGGAGACCCCACGGTGCGTGATCGAGGGGGACGATCGACTGGGCGTGCTGACGTGATGCCCTCCCGCCAAAGTTCCAGTAGTTGCAATACTTGGTATGCGGAGAGGGCTCTACTCTAATTTCCTCTAGACGTATGTACTCGGTACACAGGTACAAACACACAAACCACAGGCCAAGCCAACTTCCAAGCATTGCAAGCAAGGTGCGGGGCGGCAGATCCCATCCCATCACATCACATAAGTTTGTGGGCTTGTGGCGTTACCGGGAATATTCCACCGCCGTCGGAGGCTTATTTATGTACGTACATACTGCATACAATCTTAAAGCTGCACCCCCTTCCTCCCTTCATCTCTCTCCTCCTTCCACCCCTACATACATGCATACGGTACTCCAGCTTACATGAACGTAGAGTAGAGTACGTCGGAGTCCGGACGAGCCCGGAGGGAAAAAGGATATCCCTTTGCTCCTGCTTGCTCCTGCGTGCTCGCAACACCACCACGGTAAATCCCCGCTTGTACAGTTCTGCAGCTCTGCAGCAGCAGCAGCAGCAGCAGAGAGACAGACAGAGCCCAGAGATGCCCGTCAGCGGCTGCGGGGATGCACGCACGCCGGGAAGCTAGCTGCTGGATTGTTCCGCTTGCCCTGTACTGTGCTGTGAGCACTGTGGAGCGCATGGGATGGGATGGGATGGGATGGGATGGGATGGGATGGGATGGGATGGGATGGTATGGGGTGGGATGGGATGGGATGGTTGGGGTGGGATGGGCTGGGATGGGATGGGATGGGATGGGTTGTGTGCACCGTGGAGTGCACTGTGGAGTTGAAGTGCAACAATGCAAACAGAAAGCAGCAGACAGCAAGCAAGCAAACAGGGCTAAATGCTGACGGCAGTCTGTAGCTCGTGCCCCGGATTACCATGTTAGAGTACTGCCGCCGCCTCTGCTGCTGCTGCTGCTGCTGCATAGGTGGAGGATCCACCCCTTGGAAGTTGGCTTTAGAATCTTCGATGCTTAGATGCACGCGGACGGTAGGCAGATTGAGGCTGTCGGTAACGGCGGGGCTGGGTTGGGTTGAGGAGGGATAGTTAATGGGGTTAGAACGGTGAACACTGAGTGAACGGTCCGCAGCGTTTGCCGGTGAGCGATCAGGAGTCCTCGAGGCCTCAGGCTGCGAGCTCTCACGCCCGTCGCCCGAAATTCGAAGGCCAATGATGGCCCAAAGTCAAACTAACCCGTGGTCACTGGTCACTGGTAAGTTTAACGTCCGACTCCATTTCCATCATTGCGATTTGCCGCCTCACTATGTCGGAAAAAGGAACTGTAAAGATAGAGTATAAGCGCTGCCGATGCGAGCGAGCGAGCGAGCTCTGGGTGGGTTTCAGGTCCCAGGGCAAACGCTGGATTGCGGTTCGTTTCGTTTCGTTGACCATCTATCCAACCATCTATCCAACTATCGATCCAACCATCGATCCATCCATCCATCCAGGAGACGTTCTGGTCTGGTGACTGGTCTGGTCTGGGCCCACAGTGGGAGTACGGCCAGCCGAGTGAGAAACCGGACCACCAACTGTAGGTACTATGCTCCTATGCAGAGCGTCCTATAGCCAGTACATACATACGTACTCACCCGTCATGGCAATGGAAGGAAGGACGGGCTCCCGCAACCACCAGCCAACCAACCAGCTCGACTGTGGATGCCAGCAAAGCAAGCTGGAAGCAAACGAGCCGAGCGATACGAGATGCCTGGGACACATATTTAGAGCTTGCAGATGGATAATGGACCAGCAAACATGGCCGGAGTGAAGTGGATTGGAGTGGAAGATTGTTCTCGTAGTCGGTCGGGGGGGGGGGGGGGGGGGTTTGCTGGCAGGCCTGCCAACTCACCGTCCCCCAGGAACGGTCTCCCTTGGCGAAGAGCTCGGAAGTGGCGATTCCCTGGCTTCACACAATCGCGGCTTCACACACTCACGGCCTCACGCTCTTCCCCGGACCCACATCCCAATCTGGAAGCCGCCGGACAATGCGCTCCACCACCTCACCGCCTAGTACCTACCTACCTACTTTTCAGTGTTTACAGCGGAATGCCTGGAAAACACACGGGAACCACGATCATTGAAACAGCACTTCACTTCCATAGCTCTAGAAGCTTCCTGCCCCAATCATATATAGCCATGCATTGAAGCGGAACTGCGGAACAGCGGGAGTGCTCAGCGAGCCTGAGTCAGAACGGTGAGACTCCAATGTAATTATAGTAGTTTCCATTGCACTTTCGTTGTTTGAACTTTGAACTTTGAAGTCCCTCGGCCGCCCACGTCCCACGTCCCACGTCCTATGTTCGTATCATACAGACATGATACAGCGGGTGGCAAGCTACCTATGTAGATTCCGTCCACGAGCTCGACCGATATACGTCCACGATAAAACCCCCAGGGCCCACAGGTCGGCGGGACCGGTGATGACACTGTCAAACACCGGGGATTCTGTGTATATAGCTACGCCTGGAAGTCCCGTGTACATATCATAAGAGCTGCCACCAGGCTCCAGCTACCATTAGTTACTTAGGTACCCGCATCCACTCGGAACTTCGTTCGCACAGCTAGATGGACACATCCCGTCACTCGGCCGGAGCCATTTTCGCTACGGAATACCGTTTGAAGTTGTTGCCAGAATCAGGGGTAGAGTGACAGTGGCAGCGGCAGATACTTCGACTAGACCCGTATATAGCCAGTCGGCGCAATCCAATAATTTTTCTACTGTCTACATACATGTCGGTACGAGCCATCACACTTAACTAAAAACCTCCCAGTAGACTTGGAATCATCGCTTCCTCGGCTAATTCTCCCTCAATAGGTATTTAGGTAGATACGGTACTTCTGGTCAATCAAGATTCGACAGCCGCCAGCGAAAGAAAACCAACCGCCGAACCTAGAGTTTCTTTGAAGTTTCTATATAGGTACACAAGCGTAAACTCCGACTTCCAAGACCCGGCTGGCTCGACCATTTTCTTGGGCAGTGTGAATCCAGTTCGTCGTGAATCTCTGCTGACCAGGCGTAGCGAATCATCTACCGAGGCAGCTGGTAGCTCGGAAAAGCCCCCAGGCTACTGTTCACTACGTCCTCGAGTCGAACCACGAGCCTTCGATGCACGTTCCGTATCTGATGTCCCGCTTGGATGAGGCCCATCGAAAGGAACGATGGGATGTCTGTCATGTCTACCGGGAGTTGCAACACTGTTCATCGACGGAAACTGGCCTTCATATTCGACCGTGTCCTCCGGGGAACAAGGGTTGACTATCCAGGAAGCAGAGGGTTGGAATCTCTCCACACTCACTCCCTAAAGTTCTGTGACGAGAGGCATATGGTGGAAGCTACTGTAGGAGCTGAGTCTTGCTGATGTGATCTCCAATCCACAGTATCCGAGCCTCCGATTTGGCGCATCGAGATCTATGACGATGGCCATTATCACACCGTCGGCATTTCCGGGGACGTCTCAAGCAGTCCTGTCCTACATACCTTGCGCGGTGTTGACGGGAGACGATGAAGCTCTGGAGCTGCTTCTTGCCCGGGACGCCGATGTCGATGCCCACAATTACGAGAGCAATCGTGCTCTGTCTTGCTCAGCTCCAACAGGCACCGAGGATCATCATTTGTGTCACTGCACTGTGCGGAGGGCCTTTAGGTGATGACGGAGGAACTCTTCGGCTACTTAATTGCGGCACCGCAATCGAAATCCCCGACCGAGACGGCAATACTGCCCTCCACAGAGCGGTTCGTCTGGATATTGACGTGACAATTTCCCGGAGTTCCTCGGTTGCGGTGCCGATGTCAATATTGCCGATAGAGGCGGCAATACAGCCTTGCACTTCGCAGCCAAGCGTGGGCGGATAACGATGGGAAATCTCTTTTATACCACGCATACGAAGAGGGTTTGGGTCAATTGCGCTGCTGCTGTTACCACCCCCACTTATTGCGAGTGACATCGTGTGGCTCCGCAGGTAGCGGAGGTTGCGACAATCCCACGGACGATCGAAGTACGACGCCACGTACCTACAGGCCTTTAGGCACTGGCCAGATTCCTCATAATTCCTCACAAACAGAATAGGGCCTCCGAAGTTGTAGGCGGGGCCAGGTATCCTTCGATCCCCATTCACTTTAAAAGCCTTCAGTTCAGTTCAGCCCTAGCTCCCACCCCTCCACATAAATACCCCTTCTTCCCTTACCAGTATCACTCAGAAAGTTCCCCTCCACCACAACCCCTGCAAACATCTTCCATCACACATCAACAGCGCAAAGATGAACCACCACCGCCGGCACACCTACCATCACGCCGTCCCTGCAGGCACTGCCGGCAATACTCCCAACACCATCACCGGCTTCCGCAATCTGCTCTTCACCAACCCACAATCGAAATTTGTCGTACTGGTCGTCGCCGTACTCTCGTTCTTCCAGACAATATACTTAATGTACCTGGTCTGCACGTGTCTCGGCATATTCAAACGCCGAGAGCCTTGTGAAGACTGCGATCTTTGTGCAGAATGTGGACGGGCTACACGGACAATGTTTGAGTGGGAGGGGGGGAAGAAGAAGAAGTTGGCCTAGACACCCATCACGAACTTGGGAGGCGGGCACTGAGAGAATTTCTAGTATTTCTTTGGTTTGGGCACTCACCGTTGGATCGGTCATGGTTTGGATTCGATTCAATGCTTTCTATTTTGTAATGGCCTTTGTACTCTTTCTGAGGTTTTTGTTTCACCTTTTTTTTGTACTCGATTGTTTCAGATAATCACAGTATTATCCATCCAATCCTATTTCCTCCATGTCTACTGTTTTTATCCATCCAAACCTCCACCCACTGTGTCTATCTTCTGCTAGCTCTTCCACTCGGGGCAGCGCTTGAAGAGGTGCTCCCGCGTCGGGGTCGTGTAACGGCACCACCCGCACCGGGCATCGGAGCGGCTTTTCGTCCACTAGGGGTATAAACTAACCGGTGAGGCAATGCCCCGTATTCAGCTGGTAGAATCTTCAGGCCAGGCACTTGGGGGCCCACGCCGGGATCGGGCCCCCTTCCACCCCACACACGGCGGGGTTATCAGTCGCCAGCTTGACCCATGTGTCGGCCCTTTTCGTTCTCTGGGGATATCTATGTGTGCCGGTACCGTCGAATCTCGATCGTGATTCTTGGTTCCCTCCGGTGCACGGCTGCGATGTGCTTCCTGGCCTGGATGGCGTACTTCCGATCGGGGCCAGGGGCGTCGTGGGTTATCTTCCTAATGGCTGCTTGCACGTCTGTAAGTCTACTATGTTTTGTTTTTGTTTAATCATTGATTGTGTGCGACCTAGCTATAGTAGCTCATGACAGTACCATGTAAATCTACCATGTTTCCGTGTTTCGCTGATGACCAATTTTTCCATGCGTGACATCCCATGAGTCTTGTTCACTAAATGTCACCCGCGACCTCAAGCCTTACGCAGCACTCGGAAGCCTCGCTACCGTACTCACACCTCTTGCCCTACCACCCTACACCATTGAAAAGCTGTATTCATGATTAGATTACCACCATTCTCCCACTTCATTGCGCTTGTTCTACCTTCACTATCTGACCCGACCACCTTTATATCCCACAAACTCACCCACAACATACTTCCTTAAGTAAACCCCACTCTCCTCATCGCACGACCTCCACCAACTAACGTCTTCAGAACTCAACAACACCTATAACGAAACAATGTCATCAAACTTCACCATCCTCTCCGACAAGGGCCGTCTTTACGCCATCGTGTGCGGAATCTTGGTCGCCTACGTCGTCATCTACACCGTCTACCTGGTGTGGTGCTTTCAGCGCTTCAATGCCCGTGCCGAGCTGCAAGAGGCCGAGGAGGAGGAACACAGAATGTATGTCGAGAGGGAGGGCAGAACGATGTTTGAGGCGATGATGAAGGAGCTGGAAGAGGCGGAGGCGAGGAAGAGGGAGATGTTCGCAGACTTCGATAGCGGAGACGAGGCCGAGTGGTCGACAGACTCTGAGGTGGGATACAAAGACGAGTGATGGTCGGTGAGACAGCGGGTTCGAGGAGGGAAATTGAATCTGTTACCGGCTGCTCTACTCTTCTATTCTTTGCAAGCTTGCAGTAAAGATTGTGCCTAGTGAATACCTTTGAATCCACGCTACCCTCGCACCCTCCTCCTTCTCCGCCTTGCACATAATACCATCATTTTTCTCCTCCCAATCACCCATCATCCACAACTCCCACACATACCCCAAACCGCTACACCAAACATCAAACATGCCAGCCACTATCACCGCTACTGATAACACATCTGGAGACTTACAACCGTCAACCTCGACTTCAACTACAGTGCTATCCTCGACTGTTTGGGTGACTTCCATCACTTACATATTATCGACACCTACTCCTACGCGGAGTAGTACCTCAATGACGGATACGATCAGAGACAGCATGGGGGGTCAACCCATGCCGACAGGCTCCGTTACAGAGACGATCAGAGATGACATGAGCGGAATTCCTCCACCAACCAGCTCTGATACCAACGGCATGAACTCTACGTCCAGCACGGGGACAAATTCGCTGGCTACGGAGCGAACGAGTTTGATGAGCTCTGAAACTACAAGCTCGGTGGCTACAGAAACGATCAGAGATGACATGAGCGGAGTCCCTCTACCGACCCACTCTCATACCAACGGCATAAACTCGACGTCCATGACGATGACACATTCGGTGGCTACAGAGGTCGCCAGTTTGATGAGCTCTTCACCTTCAAGCATGGATACCGAGCCATCCACAACTATTACAATACCACTAACAGCCACAAGCACTCGCACCTTCATAGTAACGGTAACACTACCGTACGAGAGCTCTCAATCACCATCTTCGAGTCAGGAGACCCCAAGCTCGAGCAGAATCCCGATGACTACACTGGATCTGAGCAGCTATATTGTCTCAACGATGGCTGCAAACACATCCAGCTTGATAATCCCTCGACCCTCCAGCCTGATAGTTAGCTCGAGCACTTTTGAGGTGTTTACAAGCAACCCAACAGGCGTGTTCGCTTCAATGTCGGATATCCTCCTCGGCTCGAGCACGAGGACCACGCACGGGATTATGACGAGCGACACTGGTTCGAGCACGATGCTCGCGACCACGAGTCCCTCGCGAACCACCACGCGATTGAGCAACGTACCGGCGGAAACGGGGATGCCGGGTTTGATAACTCCTTCGACCCGGCCAACTCGGTCGAGCACACTCCCGACCAGTGGGACCGGCCCGTCACTTTCAACTCCCATCCCCAGCGTAAGCGGTACAGGCGGCCCAACAGGCGTCTTCGCTTCAATGTCCGATATCCTCCTCGGTTTGAGTACGCGTACAACTCGCAGAATTACGACGGGCAACACTGGTTCGAGCACGATGCCCGCGAGCACGAGCCGGTCAAGAACCATGAGGCGAGTGAGCAGCGTACCGGCGGTGACGGGAATGCCGGATTTGATAACTCCTTCGACCCGGCCAACTCGGTTGAGCACACGCCCGATCAGTACCACCCGCGCGTCACGGCCAACTTCTATCCCTAGCCTGAGCAACGCCCCAGCGAGCACAAACCTACCCGGCATCATTTTTGCCTCTCCATCACGCTCATCGCGCACTCTTGCCAACACGAGCACGCCGCCAGTGACGAGTATCACCGCCTCCCCTAATACCTCTAGCTCACCCACACAGGATATTCTCCCATCGCCACCCACACCTGCCCCCCGCAGCAGCAGTAGCATCATCACACTTACGCGGCTGTTCCCGCCGCTCCCCCACCCGTCAACTACACCCATCATCCCCGCAACCAGCAGCACCTCAACCAAATCCTACAAAACGCTCTGGCTACCTCCCATCACGCCCCCAATAACGCATGCGCACATACCGACATACCCATTCCCGGCCACCACCCCGACCACCACTCCCACCCCCAGCAGCAGCAGCAGCAGCCCGGCGGGGCGTGTCAGTGGCAACAGCGCCTCCTCCGAAACCAGCAGCGGCAGCTCGGCCGCGAAGGAAAAGTACCACACGTCGAAGAACCTTGCGGTAGGGCTTACGTTCTGTGGCGTCTTCTTCGCAGTCGCAGCGGGGCTATACTTCGTGTACAGGCACCGGAAGGGGGTGATGGTAAATGTGCGGTCTTACAAACAGCGGGCGCAGGCGCTGGGGTATAAGAGGCGAAGGAATTTTGAGGACGCGCGGCTCGAGGCGCAGGATCTCGAGGAGCAGGGGCGCAGGGCAGAGGATGTCGAGGAGGAGAGACGGCACTCGGAGATGCGGGAGCGCTATGCCGACGATATCGACCTGCGCGAAATTGCTATCGACTGGGGATCCACGACAGGCGTCGAGGATGAGGATGAGGTCCGGGAGAGGGAGAGGAGGGAGAGGGACTGGAGGCAGCGGGAGGCTAGGAGACGCGATGAAGAGGTGGTAGAAAACCTGCGCAGCTTTGTGCCTGGGTTCTATACGAGGAGGGAGTTTAGGGGGGATTCGAGACGGTCTAGTAGGCCGAGCAGTGGTGAGAGTCAGGGCTCGTCGAGGGTAAGGAAGTTGGTGTAGGTTGGTGCTTGGACGTCTTTTGGACTTTTCTTTTGGTTTTCTATTGGGATGTGCATCTGGTATGAGTTGGAGCTACAGATAGGTGTAGATAGGTGTAGATAGGTGTAGATAAGTTCTTAGGCGTGTTTTGGACTTTTTTTTGGATCGCTATTTTAGATTTTTCGGTAGATATTCATAGATACTCTTTCTACCTACTCGCGCGGGCACTCACGACTGTGAGATCTTTGCTATGTATCAAATCGCCATGAAGGCGTGTGTGCAGAAAGCATGCCCGATCTTTTTTTTCTTCGGAAAACGTTCACGCCTGGGAATCGTCCGTCCAGTCCGTCCTGGGATATGCCCCGGACGGGACCGATTTTGTTGAGCCTGGAATATCAAGGACTGTAGGGCTCCGGGAAAGCCAGAGGAGGACTGGAGCCCCATCGGGGCCCGGGGATTCTACTGCTAGTGGTACTAGTCGGGGGCGGTGGCACAGCAGGCTTCCACTGGTACAGTATTGGCGCATCACTTCAATTATATTGTTCTTCACCAGTACTCAGGTTTCCTAGGGATACAGACTACAGTGACAAGTCGTACGGATACGGTGTCTAATTAATGTGAAGCGTGCTGCAGGTACGGAATGTCGGGAGAAGATGACTGTAAACTTAGTAGTCAGCCAGCTTCTGCAAACTTTCGGAGACCTAAGCTGGTGAGAAGATGCGAAATCTTGGGACAGTGACGGATAGGGTTGTCATTGCGCAGAATGAAGCCTGTATCATGCTGATTATGGTAGTAGTGAGGGTTCGTACGGTGGTAACTACTAGTGAGGTCGTTTGAATGTTGAGTATATATGGCACGCGAAATGGTGGTACAGGAAAGGTTGCTGAGTAGCGATTGAGAGTAGTGCACACATTAGTTGGCGTTTTTCCGTTTCATTGACCGTGATTTAAGGCCTCAAAAGTACCACGGTCTCTAGAAAAATTATAATTACCAGCTCCTCGCTCCCACTCTCTCCTTTCTTTCTACATCCACCACCCTAAACACTCAAATTCAAGAATTGTAAGTCCCCCCTCCTCTCCCCCCTCCCCCCACAACACACATACGACTCCACACAAAAACCGTTCCTCGCAGACATCTTTTACAATTTCTGTTTGCGAACTGTACTCACATTCAAATAGATGGTAGCACCAAATATCCCCGCCACCCACGGGCACCTCCTCCGAGACCGAGCCACGATTAAGGCACCGGACAGGGTAAACTATTCACTCTTCCCTAGCCACAATTTAATGCATCACCCACTCATTCGATTTGCACACAGCTTTCCCCAAGCTTCGTCCAGCGGAAGAGGGCCCGTGGCGCGAAGAAGCACAAGATCCGGGGCGTGAAGGTACGTTCATTCATGCTGATCCATCTCTGTATCTATATCTCTAACAATACACAGAAAGCCGCCGCCGCCACCACTGCCACCGCCGCCACCACTACCACCGCCGCCAAGGGTCGATCCAAGAACCCACCCAAGGCCATCAAGTACTGGATGGTCCTCTCTCCCGCTGGCGGGAGGATTATCATCCAGGTCGCCAAGGGTCGCCCCAAGAGGCCGTCTAAGTCGATCAAATACCGGATGGTTCTCTCTCCTCCTGGCGGGAGGAGAATCATCCAGGTCGCCAAGGGTGCGGAGGTGCCTGCGAACGCGATCTCGGTCGTGATCATGGTCCAGACCTCCCACCGATTCTTGGACTGGCCCGAGGTGGCGAGACTGAAGGGAAAGGAGGAGGTGGAGGGGGAGGTGGAGGGGGAGGTGGAGTGGGAGGAATAGCTGGCTATTCCTCACCTCAAAAATAAAATAATCTTTTTCAAGTCAAACTTCTCGTGAACCGTCCCGTCCGTAGTCTGCCGGTGTTCTCATCTAGAATCAACCCTGAATCTGCCTTCGCTATGTAAACAGAGTGGTTTTGCGAGGGCTGTTTCGTCATAGCCTATTCAGGCCGGGAAGCGGGGCGAGAGAAGGAGAATGCACAAGTTACCTAGGTGATGCAACCGGCGAGGGGAGTTGAAGAAAAGTTCCGGGTTCAACCCGGGGGAAACCTCTTTGGATTCAGCTCTTAGGGATTCAAAGCCACCTGCCGGGGTGGTGATGGGTTTTTGTTTTTGGTATGGTGGCGGAGTGAGCACTAGTCAGATATCGCTCGGTATTTAATAACACGTGACAGATTTCACGCTGCCACCGGCTGTGAAGGCGAGACGAGAAGCGACCCTACTATAATATCCTCAGTGAGAAGTAGCTTACCAATTGGCAGCCCGGCGCTCCGTTCTGGCGGGTTTCATGAACTTCGTCGTTGTTCCAGTCCGTCGTGGGGTGGCACCCACCATGTGGCGAAGTGGTGGAGGAGCTGTCGGCAAGAGGAGGAAGTAAACTTTGGCCAGGCTTTAGGATGTTTGCTTGGTGTACCACTATGTAAATTCATCTACAGTCGCTTCCACACGGCTCCCCTAACTTTGTTGGCTCGGACGGATCCGTCCTAAATTACTATTCCAGTCCATGAGTAACTACCAGTAGCTGCATCGGCACAAATCCGATCGGTTTGTGAGCAGCTAGCCATTGGCCGAATAGTTTCTATCCACGATTCTACTATGTACCTACAAGCATTCCCCCGAATGCCAACATGTCTGCATACGCTCGCCTCCACCACAACCAAAGATCCAAAAGCCCCACCATCCAATACGCCAGCTCACGTACCAATCCGCCATCAGGGACCGGGGTCCGGGGGTGGGCGTGATGGACGTGAACCTCACGCAGGTAACCGTGATAGAGATCATCCGGCATGCAGCCGGACGATCATCCGGCGATCATCCTCTGCTCCGTGAATCGCCCCCGGATCAACACCCGTCCGGGGGCGAATCGGCTGACGTACTCGTTGTAATTCCTGTACGAGTGGAGCTGGCTGGCTATTTGGCCGGTGCTTTGCAGTGACGCTGGCCGTGGTACCGGCACCGTACTGCGCAGATATTAGTACCGTGTGGTGTAAATCTTGCATCTGGGTAGAATGGGGACACACAGAGTGCTCAGCCTCCAGTGGACCTGTTGGCTTTCCGAAGCGCGACCTTCCACTACAGCCGTACTGGCGTCGGTCGTGCATCCCTGCTCGTGATCTTGTTCCTCCGCGTGCGCGGCTGTGCATGGCGTGTGGACGAATGATGATCATGTATTTCTTTCCGATGAGCGCCGGTAGTGTGCTGGTAGTGTGCTGGTGCTGGTGCTGGTTGGGTGGTTCGTTGAACTTTCTTGTTTTTTTGGTGGTGATGTTGGTATTAGAGTTGATGTTGGTGATGGTTAGTAACGTGACGGGTACCGCAGTACCGGGCCGCCGCTGCCATAGGTATCACCATCCCCGAGTTCACGAGTTCACTGACGCACAGCTCCCAGTAAAGAGGGTATATTAAGTACCTATCCATCCGTAGTATCCATCCGTATCTCCAACCTCAAGCTGCGAGTCGCTCAAAGAAATATAGAAACGAAAGATAAGATGTAAGGAAGTAAGTATGAACATAGAAGGTATCGTATCATCCACTCATCATCAAGCCAAACCAAACCAAACCAGTAAACAGACAACTCCTCGCCCTGCCCAAACCCACCTCAAACAAAACGAAACAAAACGAAATAAAAAACACGGCCGTAAAAACGCAACCCTCAAAGACAAAGACGATGCTGCCAGCACAAGGCAAAAACCAAAACCAAAAACCAAAAACCAAAAACAAAGTCGTAGAATTACCACACTGCCTCGACTCGACCAGAACTTAGAAGATCTTCTTCCACCAACTGCCTCCACCTCTCGCTCCCTCGCGACCTGTCATGTATCCCTCATGATCCGTCATATCCGCGGTGTATCCATACGTCTGCACCTTCCCCTCCTTCTTGCGTTTCCTGCGCTCGCGCTTCTCCTCCGCGTCTTCGTCAACGCGCTCCTTCTCCTTCTCCTTCTCTTTGCGGTTGGTCCCGGTCCCGCTTTGGTGGTGGTTGTGGTGATGGTGGTGGTGCTTGTCCTTCTTCTTCTCTTCACTCTTCTCCTTCTCCTTCTTCTCCTTCTTCTCCTCGCTCCGCTCCTTCTTATCTTCCGCGGGAGAACCAGTATCCGAGAGCTTTCGCGCCTCCTTCCGCATGCGCCGCCGCTCACGGCGAGCTTCGTCTTGAATCTCGATCGAGCTGCCACTGAACCTAACATCCTTCGAGGGGGATAAGCTAAGCCTGCGGCCCTGGGGGCGGCCCTGACCTCTCGTGATGCTGCGGTTCCTCCCGTCAGCGGCGGCGGCGATCTCAAGGCCGCCGCGCATCGACTTCGACCGGCGTTGCGGGTGGTGATCGGAGTGCGATGTCGCAGGAGTCTGGTAAGCGCTGCTCTCGCGATGGGCGGATGGTCGGCGGCGGGGATGGTTGTCGGACTGCGAGGTCTGGTAGCTGCCGTAGCTGCCGCTGCCGAAGCTCCCAACGAGGATCTCGGGCGCGGCCTTCTTCTCCTTGCGCCGCGCACGTCGCGCCTCGCGCTCCATCGCCTCGGGGGTGTACGGGTTCAGCTCCTGGATGCCGTTGGGTGTGTACCCGTTCGTCGAGATGCCCGCGGAATATCCGGCGCTCGCCACCTCCGCGCTGTCCTGGGAGTGCTGCGAACCAGAGTGCTGTAGCGACCCGTCGTTTCCCTCCTTCAGGGCGCGGCGGCGGCGTCGCTCGTCGCGTTTCGCCTCCTTTTCGTCGACTATCACCACTTCCGGGTTGGCAGGAATGGGACGGGACTTGCGGCGTTCCGTGCGCGGACGTGACTGACGTTCAGCCTCCTTGGCGCGTCGCTCAGCCTCTTTGGCAGCGTGAAGGCGCGCCTTCTCGTGTGCCGCCTTCTCCGCCTTCAGCTGTCTCCGCTCCATGCGGCGGCGTTCCTTAGCCGCCTCTTCCTCGTCGGCCAGCCTCTTCGCCTCCTTCTCGGCTTTCTTCTGGGCACGGCGTGCGCGACGCTCCTCTTCGGTTTCGACGGCGAATGGGAGCGAGACGGGCATAGCGGGACGGATGAAGCGCGCGGGAACGATAACGTCATTGCCATCGGCGTCTTTGAGGACGATGTGTTTGCTCGAAGACAATTTCTCCGATTTCGTCGCGGCGACGACGACATCAGCTATGCTGTGCTTCTTGCTCTTGCTGCTCTTGCCGCTCTTGCTCCGGTGCCGTCGGGGCTTGTCCTCGGGTGCCGGTGCCGATTCGGGTTCCGTCTCCAAGGGTGGAGCACCATATGCGAGCTCGCGGAGTTCGTCGTCGACGGTTGGCATAGGAGGGTCCGAGACATATTCGAAGTCTGTAAGCGCTGCAGCAGCAGTGTCTGCTTCACCAGGGCCGTCCAGAGCATCTAGGAACTGTGTTTCGTCTCCAACATCTTCGTGATCGGAGTCCTGGGCTGCCTCCTCGGATGCCAGTTGAGCTGCTGCCGCCGCCGCTGCTTCAGCCTCTGCCGCCGCCGCTGCTGCTGCCGCCGCCACTTCTGCCGCTGCTGCTGCCGCCTCAGCCTCTACCGCGGCAGCTACAGCGATACGGGCTTCCTCCTCGGCTGCCCGCTTGGCCTTCTTCTCCCTTCGCTTGCGCTCCTTCCGTTCACGGCGCGCATCCTCTTCCTGTCTCACCCTCGCTTCCTCTTCATCCTGCAGCCTCTGTTCCTCGAGCAGTCGGTCTTGTTCTTCCTGTCGTAGGCGCTCCTCTTCCAGCCTATGTGCCTCCTCCAGTTGCCACTGTGCTTCGCGCTGGCGTTCCAGCTCCTCTTGTTCCTCTCGCTCCTGACGCTCAGCCTCTTCGCGCTCGAGCCGTTCCGCCTCCTCTGCCTCCTCCTGTTCTCGCCGGCGTTGCTCCTCGATCTTCCTATCATCCTCCTCCTGCTGCCTCTGTTGCGTGAGAAGCTGCCACGGACTCATGAACTTACTAGCGAATCCGCGGGCGGCTGGCGCCGGAGCCGTCGCAGCTGTAGCTGACGTCGGCTCCTTAGCCTCGTCGATCTCGCCCTCCTGCTCAACCTCCACCTCCGGAAGAGCAGCGACCTCCGCAAGGACCTCGGCGGGCACTTCCGTCTCAGGCTCCGGTTCGGGCTGCTCCTCTACCGCCTTGCCTTTCATTTCCGTCCTCTTCTTTTTCCGCTCTTGCTTCTCCAGCTTGCGTCGTTCTTTGTCGGTCAATTTCTTTTCAGGCGCCGGGGGCGGAGGTGGTGCAAGCGCCACTTCCTCTTCCTCGGGGACTTCTTCAATGACCTCGGGTTCTCGCTCGTGCTCGTCGTCGGTGAGGAGGGGTGCGGCGACCACTGGTGTGGGAGGCATCAGGAACTGTAATGGGTTGAACATGCTGCGCGTAGCCTTCGGGGTAACTGGGGATGGTGCTGTAGGTAAGTTGTCTAACACGTCAGTCACTACCCCGAAGTGGTGAAGATACAAAACCATCATACCTTCGTTTCCAGGCTCCACACGCTCGTCATCATTACCCAGGTCGAATGCCAGCCCACCTTCCGGAATTGGCTCTGCCTCAACGATCTCCGAGCCGGACGCGTGCTCCGTATCAAAGAACTCATCATCATTCTCCTCTTCGTATTCTAGTTCGGGTATTGGGGAGGGCTCGCGTGGCGGGGGCGGGTGAGCATGAGGGTGAGCCGGTGTTGGCGTAGCACCCCGCGAGGAAGCCTCCTTCTTCCGTTTGTTCACTTCTTTGTTCAGCTTCCATAACTCACGCAGTCCCATCGCCCGGACAGGTTTGCCGTTGCCGTCGGCCGCTTTCGAGCCGGACGACGTGCTTCTGACTGACTGTGGCCTGGAGGAGAAGGCGGGAAGTGGTTTTGGCTGCTCACCTTCACTCTCAGCTTCAATTTCTTCAACATCATCATCATCGTCACCAACAATCGCTCCGCCAAGTTCTTCCTCAGCCGCCACAGGCACCAGGTCCGGGATGATCTCTCGATCCCATTCCTCTGTGGGGAGTACGGCGCCCCCGTCGTCGTCCTCCTCGAAGTTATTGACGTCGCTGACTTCGGCATCGGGGACTTCCACAGCGGACGTCGGCTCCATTTCCAGTACTTCCGGTGGTGCCAGAATGGAAAGAGCAACATCAGCAGTGGGGTCCCCGTCCTCCGTCGTGACCGTCGGGGTATCAATCACCGCCTCCTGCGCCTCCTCGAAAGTCTCTACGACTTCCGGTGCAGGCATTTCTTCCCATTCAACCGTGGCGGGAGCGTCTTCAACAGGGAGGGTGGAGGGGGTTTCATCTGATTCGGGTTCAGGGCTAACCTTCATTGCTTCCACAACCTTCGCAGCCAACTCCTTTTCCCGTCGTTCCTTCTTCTCACGACGCTGTTGTTTCTCTGTCTCTGCGCGCTCGTGGGCTTCCTTCTCTTCTTGCTCTCGTAGTGCAGCCGCTGCGATTTCCTTCTCTCGGCGTCGTTCTTCTCGACGTTGTTCCTTAGATTTCGCTTCGCGCTCTCGCTCTTGATTCTCGAGCTCCTCGCGTTCCCGTACTTCCTGTTCCCATGCTTCCCGTTCCTCTCGCTCTCGCTGTTCAGCCGCTGCGATTTCCTTCTCCCAACGCCGGTCTTCACGACGTTGCTCCTTGGTTTTCGTTTCCCGCTCTTCCCGTTCTCGTGCTTCCCTTTCCTCCTGTTCGCGCTGTTCCGCAGCCGCAGCCGCCGCCGCTTCCTTCTCGCGGCGCCGTTCTTCCCGTCGCTGCAGTTTTTCAGCCTCTTCGCGCTCCTGCACCTCGCGTTCCTCCTGTTCGCGCTGCGCCGCGGCGGCAGCAACAGCAACAGCTTCCTTCTCCCTGCGTTTCTCCTCGCGGCGCAGTTCCTTGGCCTCGCGCTCGTGCTCCGCGATCTCCTTCTCCTCCTGTTCGCGAAGTTTCCGTTCCCTCTCCTCGCGTTCGCGACGATCCTTGACCCTCTCGCCGCGCTCAGTCTCGCCGCGCTCCCGCTCCCGCTGCTTCTCGAGCTCCTTCTCCTTCTTGCCCTTTTTGGATTTCGGACCCATGATGGAGGCGAGGAGGCCGGGCTCTTCCTTCTTCTTCTCGGACTTCTTAGAGATCTTCTCTCGCTTCGAATCCACGGGCTCGGGTGCAGGCGCGGGCGCGGGCGCGAATATTTCCGGTTCAGGCTCCGGCCCCGGCGCCGCCTCGACTTCGACAACTTCCGCTTCGGCGGTTTCGAAGGTGGCCTCTACCTCCTCGACAACAGGATCCACCTCGATGACTTCTGCCGCGGGTTCAAATTCGGGTTCGGGGTCTTCTTCGGCGGGCGCGGCCTCTACTTCTGGCTCGACTGGAGGAGAGGGTGGTGGTGGTGGAGGAGGCGGGGCTGGTGCAGGTGCGACCGCAGCCTTGCCAGCCTTTCCAGCAAGCCTGTCATTCTTGACCTTCTTCAGCCTTGCCTTCGCCTCGGCCAGGGGATTCAGGGGCGCGGCAGCCTTTGCCGTCTCCGCTTCCACGGCCTGCCTGGCAACCGACCGCAGCCTATTTCCCTTCAGGAGTGGGTTTCCCAGGGCAACCTCTTTCTCTTTCTCCTTCTTTGCGGCCTCCGCCTCGACGGCCTGCTTGGCGACGGATGCTAGTCTACCTTTGCCTTTGCCGAGTAGATTCGCTACGGGCGCGTACTCGAACTTGGTCGGCTGCGCGTAGGTGGGCACTGTCGGGGCGTATTCGAACTGCTTGACGTCGGCGTACCGGGGCTTATCTGGCACTGGCGCATAGCCTGGTGCAAGCTCGGCGTACTTCGCTTTGGGGATCTTGGCGTAGAAGCCGTTGTCGTCATCTTCGGCATCGTCGGGATCTTCCACGGTTTCGGGGACTACAGTTTCTTCCTCGACGGGAAGTGCGGGAGCAATCGCTTCGATGGAAGATCTCTCGGGAAGGTCGTCGGGATCAGCAGCGTCAAGGTACTCGTTCTCGGGTTCTGGATCGAGGTATCGGCTCAGTTGCTGCGGGGCAGGCGCTTTCGATTTGCTGAACCATCCGCCGACCCACGAGTTACTCTCCGCCTGTTTCCGTTCCTTTTCGGCGCGAGATGCGGCTGCTTGGAGGGCAAACGGGATGGGTGATGGAGCTGGTGAAGGAGCGGGAGCAACTTCCGGCTCAGGCTCTGGCCCTGGCTCCACGACTGGTTCGGGTTCAGGTTCAGCCTCTGGTTCTGGCTCTGGCTCTGGCTCGACCACGGGTTCGACGACGACAGGTTCGGGTTCGGGTTCCGGAAGAGGGTCGGGCTCTCTGATCTTTTTGCTCTTCTTGCCCTTTTCTTTCTTCTCCTTCTCCTTCTTTTCCTTCTCCCTCTCCTTCTTGCTTTTTTTCCCTTTTGGGGCAGCAGCCGCTTCCTCTCGTCTCCGCTCCTCTTCTTTGCGTTCTTCTGCGAGTCGTCGCCGCTCGGCTTCTTCGCGCTGTCGTTCTTCATCCTCGAGGTGCTCGCGCTCCAGCTGGTCTTCCTCTTCCTTCCTCTCTTGCTCGATGCGTTCTTGTTCGAGGCGTTCCTGTTCAATGAGTGCCTGTTCAAGGCGTTCCTGTTCGAGTCGTTCCCGTTTGAGGCGTTTCCGTTCAATGAGTGCCTGTTCGAGGCGCTCCTCATCGATGCGTTCCTGCTCAATGCGTTCCTGCTCCAAGCGTTCCTGCTCCAAGCGTTCCTGCTCCAAGCGTTCCTGCTCCAAGCGTTCCTGCTCCAAGCGTTCCTGCTCCAAGCGTTCCTGCTCCAAGCGTTCCTGCTCCAAGCGTTCCTGCTCCAAGCGTTCCTGCTCCAAGCGTTCCTGCTCCAAGCGTTCCTGCTCCAAGCGTTCCTGCTCCAAGCGCTCCTGCTCCAAACGTTCCTGCTCGAGGCGTTCCCGTTCGCGGTACTCCTCTTCTTCGCGCTTCGCCTGTTCCTGTCGCTGGAGCTCTTTCCGCTCAGCCGCGAGCCTTTCCTTCTCCCTCAACATCTGATTGAGCCTGTCGTCGTCATCGTCCGGATCCCTCGATGCCCACGCGTCCGTCGCGTCGTCCTCGTAGCCACCGCCGTAGTCGGGCGTTGCCAGGAACCCCGCGGTCTTGGGTTTGCCATTCGAATTCGCATTCGCGCCCCACGTATTATTCGCAGTCGGACGAAGTTGCGGTGGTGGATTAGTCTTCGGGGGAGGCGGTGCGGCTTTGGGCTTGGGCTTCTTCTTAGCAGCGAACAACCCCCACAGGCCACCGGCGCTCTGTTCCTCCTCCTTCTCTTCCCTAAGCCTTCGCTCCTCCTCTTCGCGCTTCCGTCGCGCGTCCTCAGCTTTCCGCCGCTCCTCGGCCGCGCGCAGTCGGATCTCTTCGCGCCGCCGGAGTTCCTCCTCTTTCCGTTTCGCTTCCGCCTCCTCCGCCAGACGTTGCGCTTCGGCAGCTTCCTTTTCAAGACGTTGTGCTTCGGCGGCGGCGGCGGCCTCCTCCTCGAGCCTCTTCGCCTCGGCCTCTTCCTCCTCCGCTTTCCGTCGTGCCTCCTCCTCCTCTTCCTCCTGCTTCTTCCTTGCCGCCTCCTCCTCCTTCCGGCGCTTCTCGTCGCCGCCGTCGCCGCCGTCACCGCCCGCACCCGCGCCACCAGGGCTCACGGGGCTATCATTCTTTCCGCCGCCACCACCGCCGCCACCGCTGCTAGGGGCTGTAGCCGCCTTCTTGCTGGTCGCGACGGGCTTCGTGTTCTTCTTCTTCTTGGGGGGCATGTGAGCTTTGACGCCGTAGAGGCCAGTGAAATCGATGTCGCAGTCGAGGTTCGGATTTACTGGCGCACGCGTCGTCGTTGTGGGGTGTTGCCGAGGCGTATACGGTGGAGGAGGAGCGACGAGAGCGACGAGAGCCGTTTCATAACTCGGGGGAGCAGGAGGAGGAGGGGCAGTCGGTGGGGTCGGTGGGGCGGCGCACGCTTCGTATGCAGGCGGAGGGGTGGTGGTGTGTGCGGGGCTGCCGCCGCCGTCACGTTCGAGGCACGATGATATCGTCAAGGACTCGCGCATGACCTACATACGTCCCCCCCACACAAGGCTCTTGTTAGCATCCGTCCATCCATCTATCGTCGTTTGCACCCACCACCGCAGCCAGGATCGCCAGGATCCGGCTAAACGGGGCGGTGCGGAGAAAACGAAACGAAACGAAGGAACCGCGCAAGACGCCTAGCACACTGCACTGCACTGTGCACCACACCACACCACCTTTTTTCTTTTTCTCCACCGTCCGAAAGCGGGGGGATGGGGGAAGAAAAGGGGTGTGTGATCTCAAGGTGTGGGATGTGCGGAACGAGTGCGGGGGAAAAGCGAGATAGATTCAGGTTCAGGTTCGGTTCGGGAGGCAAAGTTACCAGCAGCAATCTATCGCCACCGTCGGCGCACCAGCTGTTTCTGTTTCCGTCGCGAAGGAAAAAGCATTTTGCTTCCTGCTGTCGTCGTAGTCGTCGGAGAGAATTTGAAGTCTAATGAATGTGGGGTTAGTTTCCTTCGTGTATCGTACAGCGCCGCGCATGCAAATCGTGGGCACGTATGTGAGATGTATGTAGGTTGTGTATGCGAGGAATCTTGCGATCGCGAGCAGCGAGCGAGTTACCTCGGTCGCACCACTGCCGAGAAGAACATCGACATCGCAAAGTAGAGGAGGAGGAAAGGAAGCGCGCGCACCTCATCACCACCATCATCGCGACTCAGGCTTCGCGATTTGTAGTCGCCGCGCGGTAATGTCGTCATCGTCA